GCAGAGCGAAGGGGGAATCATCCGTAAGAATAACGACTAAATGAACATGCCAGTATTGGAGCTGACGCTGGAAACAACACCACCCTCCTCGGTGACACAAGGAAAACAACCAGACTTACGAACGCCCCTCTCCCAAACCGTGATTTGTTTGTTCACAACAGGATGCCGCCATCAGTGCCCGAGGATAGGTAGGAACAGGAAAACCACCCACCACCCAGTAACTACAATTTAAACGAAGAGATAGACGCATTAGGAAGAGCCCCGTCCTGTCATAAAATCATCAACACCAGCCCCAAGTCCCACACACCCGGCAGGGGGATAGAGAAAAGTACACAACCCAAGCCGTCCAAAACATCCGCGGAACGCGCCAGACGCAAGACGGGGGAAGGACCTAGCAAAGGACCACCGCATGGAAAGAGCGAGAGAAAGAACTGTGCTCCATAATAGACTGAATTGAGAGAAATAAAAGGCGAGGTGGAAACATGTTGTACAGGCCGCCCGGTCTAAGAAGCACGACGTAACATCCTCACAACGAAACAAGAATACGATTGGATTGCCTCATGAAAAAGGACTTCAGCAGAGGAACTTTTCGCAGAAAGCCTGCCCAGGGAATAAAGGGGGGGAACACCGCACGCGCATTCAACAATTCCGATTGTCGTCATACGCATAATAACATAGACCTAGGGCCCGAAGACGTGAGGAGAATGTAAAAAGCGGGCATGGGATAAAGGGAAGAAACGGGGGAAACATATGAGATTTGGGGAGAGTGGCGAAGGAAAATTTGGGGGAGGTTTAAAAAGGGGGAATGGGAGAACAGAAGAATAGTAAAACGTGAAGATAGATAACGATGAAAATCAGAGCTCAAATCTGGCTAACAATGGAAGCGCTCGCATATGAAGTACGTAGCACAGGAGAAAATGCCCATCCAGAGCTATAGAGGGTAACTTTCGCAGAGATCATGGCAGACTTATAACACAAAAGACCCATCGTGAAATGACAAAACTCCTGCTGGTTCTTTCAAACTAAAATGGAAAGCTCTTTTACTAAGTCTGGGCGTTAGTGATGCTCTGAACCCCACCAGCCTCGGAGGGAGAGTTCAAGGGGAACCGACCTTCATAGGCGCGAAGCCGCCGTATCCGTGAGCGGGAGGCATGCCCATGGAGGGGTACATGGGAGGCGGAGGGGGAGCAGGGCGGTAGGGGCTGCCGGCAGGGCCAGAGTTGTTCTGAGAGCGACCCCAGCTCAGACGCACACGGGAGTTTCCAATGGGGTATCCCTGCATCTGGTTGATGGCCATCTCAGCAGCATGGCGCTGGACGAACTGGACGAAACCGCAGCCCTTTCCAGGGGGGATCTTGACGTAGGTGATTTCACCGAAGCCCTGGAAGAAAGAGCGGAGCTCATCCTCAGTGACGTAGCCAGAGAGGCCGCCAACGAAAACGGTGGTGTTGTTGGGGTCGGTGAACTGGTTCATGGGCTGGGGAGCACCGTAGAAGCCCATGGGGGGAGCGCCCATGGGAGGGTACATGCCCGCGGGGCCGGGCATGCCCATAGCACCGGCAGCACCAAGGCTGGGACCCTTGTTCTTGGGAGTAGCGGTAGAGATGCGCATGGGACGGTTGCCACAGTACACACCCTGCATCTCGCTCAGAGCACGCTGCTGGTCGTTCTCATCGGAGAAGCGGACGAAGCCGTAGCCACGAGACATGCCGCTGATGGGGTCGGTCATGATCTTGGCGGACTTGCAAGACGGGAAGCGGCTCTGGAAGAGAGAAACGAGGACGTACTCGTTGACCTCGGGGCCCAAGTCACCAACGAAGATCGAGTACTCAGGGCCACGGTCATCACGGCTATTTGACAAGTTAGCTTGTGACCTCAGGACATCTATGTGGCATCTTCTCCTTACCTGCGGTCGGCAAGACCACCACCGGTAGCCCAGTTGAGCTTGAACAGACGGTTGGTGTTGGGCATGGGGGTGCCGTTCAGGGACAGAGCCTTGGCGGCGGCGGCAGGGGACGCGAAGTCGACGAAGCAGTAACCGGCGTTGCTCCTACTACCAACATTAGGATCGCCTTCATATTGAATCCAGTGTGATTATGTACTCACCCAGAAAACTTGTCGCGGATCATCTTAACGTTGACCTGCTCACCCATCTGGAACCAGAGGTTGCGAACGAAGTTCTCATCGATCCAGGGCTCAAGCTCACCCATCCTAAACGGCAACAGTCAGAGACAGCACGGACAAGAGATACTGCATCGGGAAAGCTTACCAGAGGGTAGTCTTTCCCTCGTTGGCCTGCTGGGGAACAGGGGCAGCAGAGGGCTCCCCGGGAGCAGGACCCTGGAAGGGGGCGGTAGTAGGGTCAGCCTGGCCGGTCATGGCGGTGTCCGCGGTAGCAGGAGCGCCAGGAGCGGCAGCGGCGGCGTCAGCAGCAGGGTGCTGGTTTTGGAAAGAATCAAAGTTCTGGAAAGACATGTTTGACATAAAAATTCGACTTTCGTAAGAATAACTGCGAGATAGGTATCTAGAAGTCCAGCATGAATATTAGTAACACTTTCAACGAGTGAAAAGGATCGAGTGCTGGCCAGTCGCAGTTGCGCGTACCTTGGTGCAGGTAAAAGAGCAGAAACCCAAGCAAACAAACTTTTCTATACCGAAATTGGCCCGTGCGAATGGGGTTTCGTAGGATTCGTCAAGGAAAGAACTGCGTGCGATCGTTCAGACTTGAAATGACTATTAGTACCAGAGAATTGACTTCAGGAACGAAAATCCTTGGGTAGCAACAAGAAAGAACTCAAAATTGGCGAGGCAGAAAAGCACGAGTAAATCAGAAATAAAGGGAACAAAATGGGAAAGATGCCCGATCCACAAGTTCGCGGTAGCTCAGATAGAAAGCATTGACGGAGCGGAGGATAGTTGAATAGAACGTGAAGAATTCCCCAGGATGGCGGCCGGCAGAAAAATTGATTGAACGAGCGACTCGGTGAAAGTTGGGACAAGACGAGAAGTTGGGTTCAGCCTTGACTTGCAGGCCAGCTCCGTCAGGTGCCAAGACTCAGGTTCCTCGGGTGGTTGCAATGAAATAGCCGGAAAGGTACAAGATCCATGGAGTGAATCGAACAAAACCGGAAGAGGTGTGGTAGATCTGAGGTGACAATGCGTGAATAGCCAGAAATAGGCGTTGTCACCATAGCATGACCGCGTTCGTCGAGGATACACCCAGAGAAGGCCACATCCGCTCCGGTTGCGACCGACCCGATCGATCCACCCAGTCTTCAGCGGACCTGCACCACAAAAGCCATGCAACAGCCGAGACGTATTTCCAACCATTCAGAAAGCGAGGCGCAGAAAGGGCCATGGACGAGTTGATGGTTGAGCGACCGTCCGAAACTCATCGTGAAATAGATCAGGGCGAGATAATCGTAAGGCGCAAATTGGTCGCTGACAGACCGTGCCGGACGGAAGTGGAAAGTCATTTTCGACGACCCGGATGCAGAGCAATCGGTGGACATGTTCACCCACAGTCGACTAATTCAACCAACGTCGTCTCCAGCGAATCGGTAATTCCATGCTTCTGGATGCATGAGAAGCGATGATGGACCCGAGACAGTGGTAGTCGATTTTCCGTCGCAACCACACACAGCTAGGCACCGGAACAGGCAGGGAAGGGGAGAAAAGTGAAAAGAAACGGGAGAAAGAAAAAACAAAAACAAAACAAATATGACATACGAGTCGATGCGAAACTCAAAACAATAAGAGAACAGTAACAACTTACCAGGTAATGAAAAGCGAAGCGTTGAGTTGCGTTGCTTTGGGGATGGCGCAAATAGCAAGGATGCGTGGAAGACTCGGGCGTCAGAGAAATCAGGAACTGTAGAGAACTCAAGATAACTCCGGCGAGGTGGAGAAAAGATAATAAGAAATTCAAGAAAGAGAGGAAAAGGCACAAAGAAGAGTTACAGAAGAACTATCCGCAAACCAACTCCGTCTTTTCCGATAGAAACAAGGGAACGGTAGAAGGACTGGAAGGAGGGAGAGATATTATGGGGGGGGGGGGGGGGAGGGAAGAGAGAAAGAGAAGAGAGAAGGAAGAAGAGAAGAAGAGGCGAGGAGGGGTAGAAGAAAGATTATTCTTCAGGATGGAGGGGAGGGAAAGGGAAGGGAAGGGAAGGAAAACGAGGGAAAGAATGGCTACTACTACGTACTACTGCTAGGGCAGACCAGGGACGGGAGAAAGCAGAAAATCGTTTAGACGAACAAACCAAAACCCAATAAGAATGAATAATCAAGCACACAAGCACCCAAAGGCACGCAGGAGCCAAAGCAGGTCTTGGGTTTGGTTTACTGGGGCCTACTTTTCTTGCTGCTTCCAGCTACTGCTTGGTGCTGCTGCTGCTGCTGCTGCTTAGTGCTGCTTCTGCTTGCTGCTTGGTGCTTGGTGCTGCTACTACTGCTGCTGCTAAACTACTACTGGGACTGTGAGGAGATGAGGGGCGGGCGCAGCAGCAAGAAGCGCTGCCAGCTGGGTGGGACGAAAGTTTGCCGACTCAGGAAAGGCTCTGACGGGGTTTTTCTTTTGGGTCGACTTTTCTTCCATTTTTTTTTCTTTTTTCCTTTTTCTTTTTTTTCCTTTTTGGTATTTTATTTAATTCTTTTTTATTCAAGTGAATTTTTATTTTATTACTACTTCTATTTTCACTTTGTATCCCATCTGTTCCTCGACATCATTTTTCTTTACTTTCTTTTCCTTTCCTCTGAGTTAGTCAGTAACTAGCCAGCAGCAAGAAAAAAGTGAATAAAATTGATAAAAAAATAAATCCAGAAAAGCAGAAGAAAAATAGAAGAAAAATAGATGACCGGGCCTTGTCGATCTGGATTTCATCCTGGTGGGAATCGTGTGGCCGTGGCGGGAAATAATGATGATACATACACAGATACATACATACATACATACACCCACACCCACACACACACAGCCTGCAAAGTAAGTATCTACGTATCTAGTATTGGTATTGTCTTGGTATCCAGCATTCAGGTTGGAATTGGATTGTTCTATCGGGTGTACGACCTTGCTGGATGTATGTTTTAGATCATGATCCAGATATCGACTGCAGAGTTCAACAACGAATATTGCTAGAGTCTTATCTTGACTCTTTGTTCTTAAGACGATCTCACTCATACAGTAGTTTTCCCACAGCCATACGTAGCCATGTTTATTTATCACTTCCCATTGAATTAGTATTTATGATGGACCAAATGACTGCTGTATGTTGATGGATCTTGGTGGTAAGTTAGGGAAAAGAGCTACTTAAAGACCTGCCTACCGTGCTTGCTGCGACAGACCCAATACAGAGAAGGTGTTAATCCCAGGGCCATGCAGTGGATACATCCACCGTCGGACCCAACCCAACCAAACTACCCTGCGACCAGATGACTGCTGCAGCCTGCGGGTTTGCAACCTGACATGGTCCTTATTTCCATCGCATGCAATAATCTTTGTACTATCCTCTGGTAGTTGAACGACCCTAGGCAATAAAGTCTGCATTCTTTTCTTTTCCCCCTTTCTTTTGATTTAATTTCTTTTCTCCTTTACTTATTCAATAGCTTTCGCTCTTTCGTTTATCGCATGATATTGCTGGTGAATGGAAGATGCCGATAACTTGGAAATCAATGAAGCTTAAAAAACCGCCGGGCTTTTTAACGTACCCATGGCTTGGGGTTCTGTCTAAACCAAGTGTATACATACCACAACTTGATCTATCTGCCCATAATCTCGTTCCGATGCGTCAACGAGAAACAAGAGATTTGATAACGATCTCTCAAGAATCATGTAGGGAGGGCAGCATGTTGCTCATTATATCGACATTCTGAATGAAAAACACCACTCCCCGAGATAGAGGGAAATTGAAGGGTCTTTATCCGCAAGCACACCATCTTAAGGTAAGGGGACGGATCAAGTACACACAAAGTATGGAGTACAATATTCCCCCCTTGAAAGGGTTGTACATATACTTAGTAATGATGGTGGGAATAAGTAACTAACTAATCAATTGATATATAGCAACCAAGAAACAAAACTAACAAAGGGCGGGTAAAGGAGAGAAGAGGCCAAAAAAAAAAAAAGTAGACGAAGGATCGTGATCGACGTGTACCTACCTTGAGGATTCATAAATATGGCCGAATCGCTGCACGAAATCTGCAAGGACCTGAGCGAATGCACATGCAGAGAGAGAGAGAGAGACCAGAAAGGTCGTGAGGCCTTTTCCCTGCGTGGTGTCGCGTTGTGACTCGTCGGGTTCCATTCGCGTCCCATGGGCCCTTATCGTCATAGGTCCTGTCCCGTTCTCCGCCCTGACCTGGTTGGGAGATGGGATGAGCCGAAACTCGACGGTCACTCGTTCATTCATTAATTCATTCAATTCGTAGATCGGTTGCCGTTTACAGCCACACCTCAGCCTTTTTTTTTTATTGTTCAATCACCTTCTGGATCGACCATCATTTTTTGCCCTACTGTACAGTACAGTTGAGCTGGGCGGCTGAATGGCAAGTAGATAGATGTTAGCTGAACTTTATGGATGAATGGAGAGAGGCGGGAGGGAGGATGGGGGCGCTGAAATGGCGGTCTTAATGGGATTACTTATTTTTTTTTTCTTCTCTTTTTTTTCTCTAACAGGGGATTAGATTTGGCCCGAAGAAACTCTCAACCACAATCCAGGACCAACCAGACCGACGACCGGGTAAAACTGGCAGCGCCTGGACTTTGTGGGAAAAGTTCAATGAAAGGAAAAATGGCCCCCACCCAATGCGCCCCAGACCCATGGATCGTGGAGCAAGCTAGCCTGCTACTTGTCTATGACGGAGGACTAATCGGGTACCCAGGAGACATTCGAGAAGCAAGAACGGTCCATGTGGAAAGTGGATGGTGCTATACTCTGAATAAGTTAAATTGTTGAATTTTTTTCTTTTCTTTTACTCACTAGCACATTTGGAGAATTAAGTGATCAAATTGATGGGAGGTATATTACCTATTTACACAGAGTACCATAGTAGTCTGTGGTTCACGTTAATAATAGATAGATAGTGGCCGACGGGGAGAGATGGTCAAAGCGAGCAAGACTAAAAGAAAATAAACGGAAATCGATCAACTGATTGACATCCAAACTAACTAAATACAATATGTAGCTAAATAGATACTAGACAAAAGTATGCTTGCTGCCAGATTGACTTCTAGTGAGAGAAAGCGAAAAGGCAATCAACAACATTTCATTCCAATTGAGGTCATAGCCCAAGAAATTCCGCACACACACAAGGTTTGTTGTGGGTGTGGATTTAGCTGCGATTATATAAAAAGAAAAATGGATGAGCCCAGCAGTAGTAAAAAAAAAAGGGCGACCATTCATTCCATGTGAGGGCGACTCCACTGAGGGCAGCTCGAACCATGGAAATGAGGTCCATGTGGTGACCATTGGTCAGGATCCGGGCACCGGCGGCTCGTACGGTAATTTTGGGCCACCGCAGCCTGTCATTGACATTACAAGTTTACAACCAGTACCGCCTGCGCCTAATCGGGCAAGTCAGATTGCGGGTTCTGGAATCCCACGAGTTGTTTTTTTTTTGTTCGGTGTTCTGAGACAGAATTCTTTCAGCCTCGTGAAGGGCAAAGGGGGGCGCTGGCTGATTCATGGTTTTTCCCATCGTTCCAGATTCTAGCTAGTTTGTTTCAATTCACAATGGGACATGTGGTGGTGGTATTATTCATGTCTATGATCTAAACTCTAGTGCTTGTCTGTATTGATTTAGTATTTACATTAGCAACTTACTTAGTATAAGTTCTAATTCTCAGCTTTGCCTCGACGCGCACGCGACGCGACCGACCAAACCGACTGACTGACTACACTGCAGGATCCCGTGTGGTAATCAATAACTTTACCTACTTGGGAGTTGGAAAGAACCAGTCAACGCAACTTTTCAAGTGGCAAGGAATACGAGCGTCATCAATTCCGGGAAAAGGAAGGTAATCAAATTAATTAGCTCCAATAAGTCTGGGGAACGATCATCATCATCAATAACATCATCATCATGATTATCCCATGGAAAAGGTCATTGGCATGAGCAAGGGAGCTAGCTGCTCTCTATCTATGGATTTTCATTCCCTTGATTCCATGTGTATCGTGAGCAATTTTCGAAAGATGGGGAAAGGGAGGGAGGTGATAAAGAGATCGATCTAAACTATTGAAAAAGTCATAATAACTACGGATTATTCTACAAGGAATAAGGCTGCCTAGTGTTACCCTTTCCTAGCTTGGACCACCCTTACTTCTAACTACACGGGAAGAAAAGTCGATGATGATTATATCAATACGTATACATCATTAGAAGAATACTTTCATTATCAGTAACATATTTGCCCATGCAGGTATATCATTTTTAAGATACCACATATGCACATACATGAGAAAGCAAGTAGGGTCGGGGGTTGGTTACACACTATCATGCCGCTTGCTTGTTAAGCAGCCCCCGTCCGTCCCTTGCAGATTTCCGCCCTCCTTTTCTCCTTGCCTTTGCACTTGGCCGTTATCGATGCAAACACCCACCCACCATCAACCTAACCTAACCCTTTCTTTGCTTCTCGGCTGGAGGAACCCTCAACCAGGGATTCCTACTATAAGTACCTTGGGCTGGAAATCTGATACAGGACAGGGCCTTTGTTGTATTTCTTTTGTTGCTGGAATGGAGGGTCCATATATTGAACCATGGATGTCCCATATCCCAGATACCAGGCATGTCCCAGGGAAGGGAAATTTCTAGCTGTGTTTCATATAGGGTGAAACCGGGCTGAAGCTGACTGTCTCATAAGGTAACGCATATCATTATTTTCAACGCTCTACTAACTAACTAGGAATCTCTTTTACTGTGTTTTGCAGTGCACAAGTACAAGTTCGTACGAACCATCCAACAATCACCTCTCAACGACCCACTCATTTCCACTCCTCCAGCTGAGGTAGGGTAGGGTGGGTGATTGTCTGGATCTCTCACCAGTTCTGCAAGCAATATCCCCACTCACTCAACTCACATCGATCCGGTCCCTCCGAACAGCTACGCGGTCACAGCCTCTTTCTTGGTTCGCGTGTTAGCTTCGGTTGTTAGGGACGCGGATGCGGCACATTTGCTCTGCTGGAGCAGGGCTTATTGTTATTATTAATATGGCCTGTTGTCGGGCCGGAAATCGGGACAAAGTCACTGAAGTCTAGACTATTACTGTTGCCGTGTGGCATGGTGAAGTATATTGTGGTAGTTAGAGAGGAGTGTTTGAACCAGGTGATAGCGACTGTAGCGAATGATAGAACCAAACAAAGTATGACTCCAAGCTCTTGTCATGCACCCTTAATATCAGATATAAGACCAACAACCCAAGTATTCTCAACGCCATAGACCCCTGATAACTAATACTGCCCATAAACACCATATCCACCCCATACACAAAACACCACATCCCATCAAACCAACCAAAAGTACAGAAGCTAGATATCAAACATCATCATCATCCTCCAACTCCACCACAAAATCCCCCGTATCACAAACCCCTCCATCCCCAGCGGCCAAATCCTCATCACAAAACTCACCCACATCCCCCAACTCATCGCCCAACAACTGAATCGTCCTCTCATAAACCTTCGCCGTCTCCATCTCCCACTTCCCAGGAACAGGCATATAATCCTCCAATTTATTCGCATCCCCATAGACATCCTCGAACTCTTCATCCTCATCCTCATCATAATCATCCTCCTCTGCCCCATTAGCATCCTCAATCTCCTTCTCTCTCTTCTCAACAACCAACACCCGACACGACTCCGCAATACTCTTGATCCGAACCTTCTCCGTCATAGACACCACACTCTTCTTCTCCCCGTTACCACTACTACCACCACCTAAAAGCTCCGCAAACACCTCATCCAACTTCCGCAGTAAGCGGAACGTAGGCGCCGCTGAGAAGGGATACTCGGGCAGATAGGAGTTGACTTGGATGGCTAGGGAGATGAGGTAGGGGATTTGGAGGGATGCTAGTATACATCGCTGTTAGCATTCGCTCGCTCTCCCAGGAACATAACCAACCAAGAACATGAAGGATTGAATGAGAGAGAGAGAAGGGTACTTACGCGTCCCACTAACCCAAAGCACATCCACCAAACCCTCCAAATCCCTCGCTACTTCCTTGAAGCTTTCATAGCCCTGCACCTCTCCTTCTCCCTCCCTCCGAGGTTCGAACGACTCCGGGGAATAACCCATCGTCGCATTGGAGTTGAATCCATCACCATCATTAGTAGGCTTGTAATAAGCACTACTGAATTTCTTTGCGTGTCGGCGCGAAATCTTCAGTAGCGTCGTATCGATGTGATTGATCACTGTTGCTTCTTTGGCGGACCCTGCGCGCAGAGGATGCGTTCGCGGTTTGGGGAGGAGGGAGGGCGTGCTTGGTCGTGGGGTGGAGGGGGCGGGGGATGGGAGGGCTGGGGGGAGGAAGCCTCCTCCTCCTCCTCCTCCTCCTCCTCCTCTTTCTCCTTCGGTGTTGGGTGTTGTGGATGTCATTGTATGGTTGTTGGGTGTGGTTGAGGTTGAGGTTGAGGTTTTTTGGAGTTGCGATGGTGAAGAATAGTGGGGTGGTGGTGGTGTGGGGTAGGAGATTGCGTGCGGGTGCGAGATAGATAGTCTTCTGGGTTCGGGATGTGTGCTGCCTCTGCTAGAGGTTATGGGTATGCATGTTGTTGTTTATTTCGGTGGGCTGATCTGATCTGATGCTCTTTGGTTGCTTCTGGATTGTTCGTCCGATGCGATGCGATGCGATGCGCCGACGATGTCATCGCCAAGCCGGGTTGGTCTGTGCGTTACTATATTGCATTATCGACGACTGATACAGTAGAGAATCTACAAATTACAGCTATATGTGTAGGATAGATTAAGGACATCAAATAATCATGTTATATATTTAGTCTACAAGAAGCGAACATATGCCTAAACCAGCAGCAAGTCAGCAATGCATCCAGAACTCATCTAGATACGCAAATGACGACGAAAGAATTGCTTCAGTAGGTGAGAAGATTGGATTATGCTGGTTTTTGTAGACATGGCATGACATCAAGCAACAGCTGAGTCTTGCTACTCTGGCCCCAGCGGATTCATCATATGCAGTGCAGACTGTTAAAAAAAAGAAAAAAAAAAGTGTCAAACTCACATCATCCGGCATCCCTCCAAGCCAATTCTCTATCGAATAAAGCACTTTTGGACGAACCCCCCCCCCCAAACGCCATGCTAAACCGACCCAACAATGCCAAACAGGACGAAAGAACAAGATCACTCAGGCTGAGACACCGTTAGCACCTACACATACCATATCAAAGGAGGGAGTAAACTTACTGCAATCTTCCCCTTCCGCTTCTTCATATCCGCCAACTTCCTCCTATCATCATCAAACTTCTTAAGCAGCTGGTTCTGTTTCTCCTTTCTCTTCTCACGAGACTGGAACCGATAGAAGTCCTCCAGTCCCTTGGACTTCTCCTTCTGCTTCTCAACCAACTGCCTAGCCTCATCCTCATGAGCCGCCTCCGCCAACTTCGGTCCAGACGTAACAGTAATGAATCCATCCTCGTCGGGTTCCTGCGCCCTGCGCGCCTCCTCCCTCTTCCTGACCTCCGCGACCTGCGTAAACACAGTCATATAATCATTGACGGTGCGCAACAACTCCGCCCGATCCGGGTACCTCAACTGCTCGTGGGTAATGTACCTCTGCAATCCCAGAGCAGGTACCCGATCGCCCTCAACACCCTCACCCCAGACAATCTCCGTGCCCTTCTTCGCGGCCTTGCGCGCCGCTTTCAAACTCGCCTCCATGCTGGGCTTGTCGGCGAAGACGACGATCGCGTGCGACCCGCTCTTCTGGAGCTGGCGGTCCCAGGTAGCGGGGAGATCGACATCGTCCAGTTGTGCTTGGAGTTCGTCGGCGGTGACGCGCTTGCGTTTCTTGCTGCTGGCGATGTTGCCTTGCGGGGTGGCTTGCATGCCCTTCTTTTTGGTCGGGACGGCTTCGAATTCCACGCGCTCTATGCGGCCTGCGGAGAGCTGGGTGCCGAAGAGGTGGCGCAGGTGAGTTTCGGTCGTGTCGACGGGGATGTTCACGATGAACATCGAGCGGGGAGTGTCGGCATCTGGGATGCGAGGCTCGTGGGCGCGGAGGTAGAGATAGTGTGTTGCTGGTTTGGGATATGCTGGGGTTGCGGGGAAGTGTAAGGGCAGGATTGAGAATCCTGCGATCTCGAGATCTGCCTTCATTTTGTCTAGTACCCTCGGAGGTATTTGGTTTTAGGTGAGGAGAGAAGGTAAAAAAGTGATTGGAGTGGTAGGGGTTGCGGAAATTGTAGCGCCGCAAATTAGTTGGCGGAGAGACTTTTTTTACTTTAGCGGGAAATTTTGCAACGGCAGTTTGGAAGGCGGAGAGAGCTGTTTGCGTTACCCGATAATCAACATCAACAGTACTTGGCCTCAATTCACAAACAACTTGTTGATGACATAGTAGTACATTGCTGTCGCAGGTAGATCGCTTCAGCAGAAATTAGAGAAAGAAAAAATAAAGGTTCACTTTTAGCAATGCGCCACATGGCCGTTGCCCAGTTCTTCCCATACACAGTCTCGAACCCTATCTTTATCGGAACTACACCTTATCAGGATCGTTGATCCCACCATTAGTGATGACATACGTCGCCTCTCTTTCAGGGCAGTCTGAGACAGTTAGAGCATTAACACGAGATGTGTACACTTGACAAACCTGGCGAGTCCTGGATCTTAGCTACTCGCTCCTCACCACGGCCCTTACGGAGGAGCACTCGAGTCGCCGATGCATGTGCCAGGACATGACCTCCAACGGGCTTGCGGCCATCGGCTCCAGCGAAGAGTGCACTAGCGCCAGGGTCACTCTGGACCTGGTTGGTCTGCATTACATTAGACTATAGCTGTCTGCATATCAACGGAGAACGTACCATCAGAACACAGATGTTGAATTCTGCGAGCGGCAACGTCAGCCCTCTAGTAAGTAGCACTTATATATATACCAAGATTCAAAAACATACCTTCAGCCATATGAGCCAGCTTCATCAAAAACTGGTTCAACTTCTGCTGACGATCAGCAAGCTCTCCACGTCCACAATAATCGACCCTGAAGCAATTCATGATGCTATCAATGATCAACAACCTATACTCTCTACCAGCAAACTCTTTACTAAGAGTATTCAACAACTCCAGCTGATGCTCGCTGTTCAATGCTCGCGCATAAGCAATGTTCTCCTGAGCAGCATCAGGATCGACACCGAACCTCTCTGCAATCTGAGCAATGCGCTCAGGCCTGAATGTTCCCTCGGTATCAATATATGCCACCTTGCCGTCTGCACCACCCAGTTCCTTGGGAAGTTGGGCCACGACGGACATGGTGTGCGACAACTGAGTCTTGCCGCATCGAAACTCGCCGAAGACTTCACTGATGCTCATGCTTTGGAAGCCTCTAAGCAATATCAAATCAGCTTCCCCCCCGTTACAGTAGTATATGGGTAAAAGGAGAGAACTTACCCTCCCAAAATAGAATCAAACTGTTTACTCCCAGTAGAAATCCTAACAATCCTCTTCCGCTGATGGCACAACTCCATTGCCGTGATGAACCCCGAAGCCGAGGGCTGTATAGTATATCGACAGTTCGTTAGCACCTCACCCTGGCACGAACAATAACCCCAGACAGGACCATCACCTGCGGTGTATGCATACATACCATGCTTTTCTGAATAGCATCCTTAATCTTCTCGACCTTCACCTCACTGAATCCCTTTATCTTCAATAGATTCTTGCGGGTAGCACCGTGAACAGACTGAGCAGGTTAACAGCGAGGCTCGCTTTAAACATCAAATAATAGACCGGACAATACATACAGCAACAGTATAGTATCCGTTTGTCTTTAGCTTCGTGATATCCGCTACTCCGATACCTTGAACATACTATCAGTATACGGATATGAGAGGAAGCGGGTAGTGAGGGGTATATATACCATGGGCTTGGATTGTGTCGATATCAACGATGAAGACCTGTCATTGAGACAATGTTAATACAATGTTAGGAGATATTTAGACCATGCAGCAAGCGTCATTGCTCATAGGAAATGATGAAGAACGGGGGTAGAGGAATGGCTACATCATCATTGAACTCGTCGCTTGTGTCTGAGCCGGGCATGATTGTCACTTAATTCGATTGATATGGGGAGACGTGGAGGTTGGACAGAGATGAGAGATAGATATAGAGCTGATTGAATGTCAATTGCAGCCGCGAGCATGCAGTTGACCATGAAGGCAGCTGGTATGAGGAGTAGACTAGTCCAGCGTCACGGGGTCTGCTCGTGACAGAAGAGCAATGCTAAGCCCACCATACAATTGAGTGATGGCTATATTTCAATTCTCTACGAGCAGGGTGGTGACAGCATGAAAAGGCGACGTTTTCCACACCCAATTATTCTATTAGCTGTACCCTGTAAGCTACTGATACGACAACATGAAGGCTTTATCCAACCCAGCTCTCAATACTGCAATGGTCCACTTTTAAATCTGAGATAATGCTTCTTTTTGCTTTTGTCTTTGTTTGTTTTGCTTCCCATTTGACGAATATCTGGAGGATATAGTACGAAAAGATGAGGAGGTAACCACCGCGCCAGGTACCTGTAGACCATTCACTATCTTCATCACACACAATCCCATCCGTATCAACTTGAAGCCTCTTCCCATGCATATCAACGCGCTTGCTTCGGTCCACCAATGTCACTGCTGCGCTCACTTCAACTTTCACCTCGCCTGGCCTCGTCTCCCTCTTTTCTTTGCCGCACCTAAATTTTGGAAATGAAAAAGATACCCGAGGAGATCAATAGACGCCAACCATAAGACCCTGAGCCGTGTATAGGATCCAAGCAATAAAGGAACCTAAGACTTCGTGAAACTTTTGTTCGTCGTATACATAATAGGAATAGAAACCGGTCGGTGCCGAGAAGTGGAACAGGAGGGGCGCAATATATGCAAAGGAAGAAACCATGGGAATAATGAAAAAAATGAGACCGATATCGGCAAACCCTATTACAAAAAAGAAAGAATGGAAAATAGACTCCCAGAAATTGGGATCAATCAGTCATTAAATTCGTCCTCTATGCGACAGCGGTAGTAGGAGCCGCAGCAGCAACGGGAGCAGCCTCCGCGCTGACCTCGGCAGCGGCGGCGGCAGGGGCAGCAGGAGCAGCAGCGGCGTCAACGGGCTGCTGAGCGACGGCCTCGTTGTTGGGGCAGTCGCGGGAGATGTGTCCGGCCTGGGAGCACTTGTAGCAGACCTTGCCGGCGGAGCTCAGGGGACCGCCGTTGGGGGCAGTGCAGTCGCGGGAGATGTGACCCTATAAGATTCCGGTCAGCCTCAATGTCCGTATCGCATCAGGTATAAAAGGAACACCTACCAGCTTGCCGCAGGCGTAGCACTTCATAGCCTGAGCCTGGCAATCACGGGCGAAGTGGTTGGGGCCACCG